TTGCATTACAAATCTGACACAAATGATAAGAAGTAATCATGACCTTAAGATCTACATTGGAACGCAGGTACAAGACTCCGCTAAATTCAGGATCTTTGAGAATCGTACGCCATTTACCAGGTCCATGCTTAACAACACCAGATTTTAAAGCTGATTCTTCTTCTTGTGTCCATTTCTGCTTCGGAGCACCCATCACGATTTCGAAATGAAACTAGCAAGTCTCTTCTGCAACAAAACAAATAAACATGTCAAAAGACCAATCAGAACAAGCATCTGATTTGAGAAAAAAACATATTTTTTATCAGATCCATTGTTCTCAGCCAACTTAGACACACAACGAAAAAAATGGTTTCTTGAAAGCAAAATGAAAAATTTAAAATCTTTCATTGTAACCCACAGTTTCCTCTGTTAAAGACTCCCAAAAGTAAATTCACCTAACATCACAGACTCTCTAATAGCAATGAACATAAAAACCCTAATTTCCTGTTCCAAGTAGTAATTAAGAACTTCAAATCGCAAATTCATATCTTTTTCCTACTTTTCAACGGAAAAATTCAACAGATATCCTCGAAAGCTCAGTTTTGCGGTATCGATTATTGTAAAAGCAAAACCCTAGAAAAAAAAACCCCTCCTTTAGATTCAAAACCTAATCTCATGCTTCGAGTATAAGCAAATCGACAACAGAAACAGATGAATTCACCAGGATAATCAGATTTGCGAGAGAAAATTGATCATCGAGATACGAAATTCGATTTTTTCTTGGTCAGATTTCGATAGGGTTCCGCAGCAAAACGAAAGCTAGGGTTAATAAAAAGGAAGACAAAAGGATTCAGGAGAGTAACGGACCTCCGTCAATTCTGTTACGGCAAACTGATTAAACCAATTATGTTTAAACGCGTTTCTATCTTTATTACAGCAATCTTAATTAAGATAATTAGAAATTAAAGTATTTTACAAATTTCATATTTTAAGGGAAAAAAAAGTCATGGTATAAGTTAGGAAAATTATCTAAAAAATGAGACTCTTATCAAGTATTATTGCTGAATATTTTGGTTTATTTGTCAAATTATAATTTAAGAACTTGCATAGTTAGAGATATTTTGAACATAAAATACCAAAATTTGCTAGATATGATTTTATAATAAGTTGTGGTGGAGGATGAAGTTGCAATATATTTAGATATTCTTGCCATTTAATACATTAATGGATGGTCAATATAAAAAAATTATAGTTGACTACAATTAAACGATATAATTTCAGACGAATGTTTACCCTAAAATCTACTAAGTTTTTGATTTTCTTGCCATTTAAAATGTTTACGGGTGGTCAATATGAAATTATATAATTGACTACAATTAAACGAGACTAATTTACTTGACAAAATTAACTTTAAAAATGTAAATATAGAATTTTTTTCCGAATTTGTCTCATATATGTTGTATGCTAAAAAGTTGAATTTGTGGCAAATTTCAAAAATAACATCTATGTAAATTAATAATTGATCCATACATTTTGTTTGTTTTTTGAAATTTTAAATTTGTTGTTCAACAATTATTATAGGGATATTTTCTAGAAACAAACCATCTCCGAAACAAGTCTCCAAACTTGTCTATGCTTGGATACCGAAAGGAGCAATTGCTGTTTCAGATAATCTCATTGATGCTTCGAACTAGATGTATGATGGTGGATGGTGGATTTGGCTTTTCATGCTTTTTTTTTACAATTATGCTCTCTCCAAATGGTACAAACCACTCTTTGGAAAGTCTATCTTGACGAATACATGTTCAAGTACATCGCAGCAGTGGTAGAAATTAGAGAATGTAAAGTATCCAATTAGTCTAATATGATATCAAAGAAAGTACCACATATGCCTCTCAATTTGGGCAAAATATGCAAACTCCATTCTGACCGCTCTACTGCATAACATGTGTGGGTCTAATTTTTTTAACCGAAAAAAGATCTTATTTTTTATTTTTTATCAAAATATATATTAAAGGCCATAAACCGGATTAAATCGGGTGAACCAATACAATGTTGCAGGTTATCTGTGGGTTTCTAAGATGCGAAGTTATTTGTGGGTTCAGTGGCAGATCCACTTGATAGAAAAGGGAGGTTATATGACCTGGGTGAAATTATCAAATCAGTTTTAATGCAATGAAAGTCATGTAAATCAAGTAGCATAGTTGGTACTTTCATAAGCATTGACACACCTAAACCGGGGAACAATTCTCGGATTGACCACTCTTGCATCTTTTTTGTTTTATATTTATGTCTTTTTATCTTTAATCGCTTGAAAATTATAGAGGTTTTTGAAATAATATACATTCCTCATTTCCTTTT